TTTGTTAATTGTTAGGGACTAAAGTGCAATTTCTCATTTCTCTTCTTTTCATCTTGTATATATACCTGTAACTTTCAACCTATCAATACAATCGAGATTTTACCTCCTAAATTACGACTTGGTATCAGAGCTTCAGGCGACCTGAACCCTAGTCACCCCAAGTCCGGCCCCGATTAGCCCCGATTCCACCTCTGCGTGCGCCGGCGAGTGTCTGATTGCAGTGGGTAACCGCGACCGACTTTCTTCCTCCGTCCGAATCATTGTACAGAACCCGGCGACGTCACCCTGCTATCTGCGTGCGCCGGCGACGTCTTCCTCTGGTTGTTTTCGGGTTCTGTCCAACTGCGTGCGCCGTCACCCTACTATTATTGTACATGTTATTTTTAAAGTTCTCGTGGTAAAAAATGACTGAACTGTAAGCATGATTGTTCCTTTGAAGGAGGGTGAACTTGTGGATTTTTTGCTTTCCATTTTCATATCAAAATTCAAATTTCTATTGGGAACAGGTTCTGGTTGAACCTGGAACGCCACAAGGATCAAATATCATCTCTCAAATGCGATCACATATCTTATGGATGGAGAAGAGGGTAAGTTCTTTCATATCAGATTTTACATTATTATGGTTGTATTTTTTAGGGGTTATTAGCACAAAACGTTCATACGTATGGAGTTCATTGTGCAAAACGTCCAAACGTTGCATTTTTCGCATTTTCACCCCCTAGTTTAACCTTTCATTGCAGAAATCAGAATTTTCATTCATTTCCATCCAATTTATAAAAAGTTGTGAACTGACGAATATATTCTTCTATTTAAATAAAACAAAAAGAAAAGAAAAATAAAGAACTAATTGCAACCATGCTCCTAAATTTTTTTAAAAAATGCAAACAAGTCTCATTTAAAAATTTAAAAAAATAATCTTCTTTCGCCTTTCCCATCCTCCTCCACCACCACAACCACCACCGGATTAAAGAACTAATTTTTGTATTGTATTATGAGCAAAGAACAAATTCATTTTCAGCCTCCAAATTAAAAAAAATACTCTGTGGCATGTATACCATAATGCCCTCCCCATGATGATTAATCTTGCTAAATGAAATATTCCGTGTAATTTGAGTTGTGTGTGGTGTGGGGATAAAGAGGACAGTGTGCACTCTTTGTTTGGGTATAGATGGGTGAAACAGTTGGGGGTGATTGTGGCAATTTTCTGATGCTTACATCTGCTTAATTTGCGCAAGTCAGTTGTTTGCTTTGGGTCTTGTGGGGGTGACAAGAATAAGGTAGTGCATCTGCTTAATTTCAACAAATCAGTTGTTTGCTTTAGGTCTTGTG